CTGGTGGAACTTGAGGCTGACCATTCTCTCATAATCACTGCTATGGCATGTCCTCACTTGATATCTTTGTTTAGAAATCATTTGCGTTTTTAAATTAGGCTTAGTAGCATTTACTTCCTCATCTTTCTCAAATACTGAAAATGCCTATAGAGCACCATAGAACGGTTTGACATGCACAGATAAGCAGAATGGATTTAAGTACTTATAACTTTTTAATCTCCTTTTCTTTGCTTCTACATGACATACAAATGTCTTCAGGGAAAAAATAAATGTTTTTTATAGTAGTTTAGAACAACGCTGTACCAAACTAGGTGTGTTAAAAAAATGGTAGGCAAATACTCCACTGTCCCAGAAACCTGAACATTCGTTTAGCAATGCACCATCCATGTTGTCTTCTCCATAAATCTAACATCATAATAATTCCCTGCTTCAGTGGTTTATAAGATTAAAGAAAGCCTATTTGGCTTCGTAGGCTACAGGCAGTTACATTTTTTGGCTTACCAAGACTGGCCTGGGCAGAGGCTGTGAAGACAAACAGGGTTTATGGCTGCAGGGAGTCAGTCTTTCACCTCAGTTTCGTTGTTGAATAGTTTGTTTTTCCAAACCGTTACGTATTTGCTATTCTTTGGTGCAGTTATTTACCAAAGTCTGCCCTGTAGTTAACCACAACAGTTAGAACTTCAGGGGCTTTTGACAACTAACTTTCAACGATTTCTATTAATTCTTCCCCTTAAAGTGTCTAAAATTTGGAAGTACTGTTTTATACAGTCTGATCTTTGTCCCTCTGAAGCAGCCTGGTCACTGGCACGTTGTTTCAGCCTGTGTGGGAATTTGGGGAGAGAGCACCATCTGGTTCTGCTGAGCAGGAGACCAGAGGTTGCAGGAAAAGGGGAAGGAGCAGGATGGGTCTCTGTTGAACCCACAAACGATTCCCAGGTTCATACTTATTATTTTGCTCAGGAACCTCCTTGAAAACAACATCCTCTGCAATGGTCTGGTGGAACCATAATTTTTCCATACCAACAACCTTCAGATACAGGAAATGGAAATTACAAGATTAAGCTGAACAGAGCTAAAGGATGGTATCAATTACGGTTTATTAGTTTACATTTATCATTGTTTTATTTGGACTGGCCTTGAAATCAGATTACTCAGCTTTGCTAACTGTCACAGTTATAATATCTAGTCCTCTGAGATTCTGCCTGACATGTAAATAGGTACTGAAAAAAAACAAAATAAATAATAATAAAGGCAAGGTTCTTTTGGGGAGCTTTGCAGATAAACATCAAAAGAAATGATGTTGTCATGCAGACAGAAAAACCAGATGGCTGCATTGTTAGAGCCTGCTGGAAAAGGCATTTTATGCCACCCTAATATAAGTCAAAGATACGTGGATGTCACTGGTCATTTTCAAAGAGACAGAGCTCACAGAAAAATTCTGGACAAAGTATGGCATCTTGCCTCTCCTTGGATATTTCCTGTGGGTTATGGTTTGCTTAGACTCAGATGCATAGAGTAAATCAATATTTTTTCCTGGGGCTTTCGCTGACTTCAGCTCCTAAGGGAGCTCAACATGCAGCCACTCGTGCTGTGGAATAGACACTTATCATGCCAGTGAGCTATGCCTGGAGTAGCTGTATTGGGTTATTGTGCTGTGGGGACATTACGGTGATCTGAACTATCTGTCTAAAGCCAGGAAACTCTGACTTTGATCTAATAAAAGTTTAGGGCGACTATATTGTTTTTCTACTTTTGTGCAGATGAAATTAGGATGAGAAGAGGGCTCAGAATTCCAAAACTGCCATCCCATCACAGAGTTATTGCTGAGAGCAGAAGTGAATGAGGTCAGACACTCCATTAAATCCTTCAAAACAACTGTCATCGCAATCATAGTTGCTGTAAAATTTTACAACCCTCTTCACAAGCTCTGTCTTCGCAGTTCTGCATTTAAAAACAGGATAAAGTGTTTGGTCGTGTAATAGGATATAAGCCACAACAGACATCCTGAGGACAAGCAGTACCTGCCCAAAATATAAGGGGGAAACAACGTGGAGATAAACACCAAGACTTTAATTTCTCAAAGGATAACACTAAATAATCAGAAGATGGAAGTGAGGTACATGTTACTCGCAGTGGACCCAAGGAGCAAGGGAAGGTACAAACAGGCACGGTCAGCTAGGTATAAACTGAGAAGCCACATGGTGAGAGGTTCATGCCTGCCTTACCCAGACCAGGGCAGAGAGGAGAGAGCTGACTGCCCTGACACACAGAAACAAACAGAAAAAAGGAGTTTGTCAATCTCTTATCTGGTGAAAATAGTACAGGACTGAAATAGGCTTCAATCTAGAACAAGACACGAAAAATACGCTGGCTTTATTAAAATTACTGTTCTTAGTGGTGTAAATCTGAGACTGTTGCTTTATTAAAATTACTGTTCTTAGTGGTGTAACTCTGAGACTGTTGCTTTATTACGATCAGTGTGCTTTTTTAGCTAGGGACTATTAAAACACCAGTAATGCCAACCCTGGTTAGCACAAGCTGAAATGAAAGCAGTAAGGAAAATATAATGTATTTCTGTTCTTGTCATTCAGCTGTTTGCCAGCATCAGTACTGTGAAAAAACTGAAATTGCTTTAGGAAGTGAGAACAGTGTTACACTTTTAGTGATTCCCTGAGGCCATCTGTCAATGAGTAGAATACATTGTGTGTCTAGCACATTGTATTCTTAACTGCTTCATAAACAAATTATTTCTTATAAGAAGCACTTGTTAAGAAGTCGCAGTTTTATTTTGCAGACAGTAACACTGAGGTGACTGCATAGTTTCTACATGGACTTGAGCAGATTTTAAGACCTGAAATTGTTGATCTAAAGAATTTGCTGCATATACCTCTTACCAGTCACAGAAATTACTGTGCAAAATAGATCTGATCCAAAGGAGAAAAAGAATTAAATTGAGGTTAACAAATGCTGACCTGACCTTGGTTCTTTCTTCATAACCTCTGCAGTATTTCCTTCCTACAGAGTATGAGTCATTCCATAGTGTTGTTTGGCCTTGTTTTGATAGAGATGTCTCTGGTAATTACTAGAAATTCATCAAGCGATGCAAGCCAGTGAGAGCTTAAATTTTGTATTATGTAAGCAGAGGACAGGGAGAGATTTTTCAGATGGGTCTTTTTGAGCACCTTTAGTGAAGTATCTCTAAGAAAGATGTCCTCACAGTGAACTTCCAAGGAGGTGGCAGTAGTGCAGAGCCTGCTGCGACGGAGCTGCAGAGTTAATTTGTGACCACAGTGGCCATCTAGTCCCAGCCCCTGCTCAAAGCAGGGCTAATCTCACAGCAAGCGGCAGAAGAGAAAAAGTAAATGAGTCATTCAGTGTCTTTCACCAGTGAAAAACTATTTCTGTTTAAAAGTAACACGTAACATGTTTAGGACATTACATAACTACCACATTATGTTGCTAGAGGGTATTTCTTTTTCATACATCATAACTTAGAAATTTTTATATCTATTTCTTAAATGTTAGCCAGCCACAGAATGGAAATGACAGGGGCATAGCCTGACTGTTGACATTGTGAGGCAGAGAGATATTTTTCCTGAAATTGTAAAAATGTTGGAACACATATTTTTAAGTTCATATAAAGATGTCATCAAACTATTTAAAAGGGCAAAAAGCTTTCTTTTTCAGTGGTTTTTTTTTGGGTTTACAATGGGAGGCCTGGCTGGATCTTTCAATCTGCTGTGCTGGCTGTTACTACAGATGGTCATAATCTGTACATATGGTATGTGCATATATGAACCAAAATCAGCCTCGTCCTAGGGTAAAAGCAGACACACAGCAGGAGCTCAGGTGCCTAGCACAAGGATATTGGTGAAAAGGATAATTTACAACATTTAATATACTAGGGGAAATT